GGCTTTAAGTAAGCAGCCATTTAAGAACTGCATGTGAATCACAGATTAAAAAAAAAAAAACTGACAATGAAGCTCTTGAACCAAAAATAAATGACGGCAGGCAAAGCAGGAACTGAGAAGTTCTAAATTACCCTACAGACAATCAAACGTGACCTGAGTCTCATACAGTCTCTTCACAAAGAACAGGCCAGAGGGTATTCAGACAGCGTATCAAAACAGCATGTATTCCAGGACATCCTTGCAATCAGCAATGTTAATGGCGGCCAGCAGCTTTAACAAAATCAAAAGAAAGAGGGGCAGGTCTTTGCAGAGTTTGTATCTGGTGAGTCATCACAGCTTCAAACAAACTATTCAATTTTTTCTAAAACCCAGGATATTTTCCCTCCAGAGGAGACAGCTACACAAAGGTTTCAGTCCAGAATCCCTCAACAGAAGCATACAAGACTGGGCTAACGTGAGACCAGAGGTGTTGAAGCATGTTAAAACCGCCCCCCGTCCTCCGAATGTCTACACAGGTAGAAGAGATGCACAGACAAACCTTGAAAACCTTGAAGTAAAGATGTGGAGAGGCTGGGGAACCAAATAATAAATTGCAACTTTTTTCTGAGCAACAGGTAGAGCCTGAAATATTTGTCAGAATCTGACTGGACCAACTATTCACATGCAGTTTGAGCATCAACTGAGGTTCACAAAGCCAGTATTAAACTATACATCAGCGTACTGTAAGTGTTAACAAAAACATGTCTCTCCAAAACGACAACTTTACAGGAGAAAGAAAAGACATTCTTAACTCTTGTGTGGTGTTCAGGTCTGTGGGACCCATTTTTAATGTTTATCAAAAGAAAAAATGATGTGATTTATTATTATTTCAACCTCAGATTTCTTGGCCTTGCTCACTTTCTGTGAAGAACATATAAACTAACACATTTTCAGTGTCTTCACACTGTTCACCCCCCACACACTCATATTACACATGTGGTGTTGGTTGAACCCACGGGGAGTAAAAGTGTGGAGGTGCTGTGTCCTTCACTCTGTTCTCCTCTTACATGGCCTGCTGTTAGTGTGTGAGTGTGTGTGTGTGTGTGTGACGGTGGACAACATGGACAGGCTGCTGACTGGCTACAGCTGCTAAAGGAGATCCCTACACTGTACACTTGTGATATTTTAAACATCTGGCATTCTTTCATAAATTGATATGGCTGTATTGATTTAAAATACAAAAAAACAAAAAACAAAAACAATAATGCGGTGGTTCCATCAGACCAATGAGAAACAAAAATATCAACAAGGGTTAACTTTTAATGTAAGTTTAAGTAAGTTTACTCTATATGATCTTCCTTATGATAATGGTGTCACAGACAAACATTCCAAACCGTGAAAGAATTATTTGATTATGAAGTAAAACTCTTCCTCTTTGCTGTTTAATACGTATTTTTTCAGGCAAAACATACACAAAAGGTTTGTTTTTTGGTTGCACGGCCCTATTTTTGGGCCCTATTTTTCACGATGTCATTTTTTTTTGCATTGTTGATCTATTATGGTATAAACTGGCCTGCAGCACAACTGAATTTGCACAGTTTGCCATAAATTTTGGCCAAGATTTAATTTGCAGCATCTCACACAGTGTGAAATGCAATAAACATGAAAGATCACAGTCTGCAGTGAGGTTTAATGTAAAAAGATTGTATTGCATGTAATTTTAAATCCAAATGTTCACACAATGTAAAAGGCAACAGGCATTTCAAATAACAAAATGAAAAATAAATAAATAAATAAAAAAACAACAGAGCAGGCACTATCATTAGGAATGGTGCGTTAAATTCAGTCTCTGGTTGGTGGGGTTCAGGTTCGCACAGAAATTAGGTGGGCTACAGTCAGTTTTGTGTTTTAAGCTTGGTGCTGTGGGTCATGCAGAATCTTCTTAGGGTATATTCAGGTAGAAGCCAACATTTAAGGGCTGATTAAACTTCTAGCATGAAGAGAAGGTTAGCATTCATTCACAGTATAAAAGCCTGGAGTTTAAGTGGTAGTACCCTCATTCAGTTATCTTGTATTTTAATCATCTTTTTAAATACCTCATCTGTTGAACGAGGCTGAGTGAAGAAGCTGAGTGGCCAAGCCATTTTTGGGGGGGGGGGGGAATCTACATCTGAAATGTAGCTTTAAAATGCATGACTACCCATGAATGTATAGCTGGTGAAGTGCAATAATTTTCACCTAATCTGATATGGCAGAGATTTGCTCATGCAAATGTTGGACCGATGCCAAGTCTGAAATCCTGTGCTTCACTACACCCAGAGCCTGGTCGTGCAAAGCGATGTTTCAGACAGAGTTCATTTAAGGCAGTTAATAATTAAATGCCTCAAGATGTTGAGGATTAGATCCTTTTCCTCACTGCAAAGGAACATGTCATCTTGGGTAAACTGAAGGACAGGCCTGAGTACCAGTGCTCCAGCTATGAATAGCATAATAGACAGACCATTTGCACATCAAGACCTCTCCACGATGATAACGTAACTCTTTGGAGCTCTAAAAACAAATCAAAGCTTTTTTTCCCCTCAACCAGACAAGTTTAAAACAGCCTTTTACTTAAACTCACAAAGTAAGACAAGATTGTTAGTAGATCAAAACCAGGTTTTCATCTTTGATGCTGATACCATCTGGTAGAGAAAAGTGCTTTGTAGAAGGAAAATGACAACATTATGTGGTACAAGTCTATACAAGAAATTGGAGGCTACTAACGTGTGAGGCAGGCTCTGCTGGCTCAATCGTATTTCAAATTACTCTCAACTACTCACTGACCGCCAGCTGTCTTACACTGATTTAATCAACTTAATGATAATCAGGATGGCACCACACCTCCAAAAGTGATGAGGCAAAATGAATTGGTCTTTCATATTTAAAAAAAAACACTCAAGGGTAAAACAGCAGCTGACTGACCGACCACTAACTTTCAGCATTATATATAGCCTGTATAAAACAATAACATGCCCCAATGAACGTTTTCATGAATAGTTTGTGTTGTGTGAATCGACCCTGTGGAGCTGGACTCCACTTAGATATTTAACTCTGCTAGCTCACATCTCTAAAGAATATCAAATATCAAATTCTAGCTTTGCATGATAGTCGTGAGAAAAACCACAACTGATTTCCTGTAAATTTTGACATAGTGTTGTAGCAAACTCTATGACCAAGCATATTACTTCACACATTGCAGTAAAAACTAGGGATGGACTGATATGGGAACTACTAGGCAATGCCAATATCATCGCTCCTGCACATATCTGTCGGTGCTGATACCGATAAAAAATGTATAAATTGTGACTAAGTCACTTGGATTAGCATTACAGAGAAATACACTATATGGACAAAAGTAATGGGACACCTACACATTACAACTACAGGAGCTTTTATGACATCCCATTCTAAATCCATAGGCACTGATATGGAATTGGTCCCCCTTTGCAGCTATAACAGCTTCCACTCTTCTGAGAAGCTTTCTACAAGATTTTGGAGAGTGTCTGTGGGAATTTTTGCTCATTCATCCAGAAGAGCAACAATCTCTGTTCTAGTTCACCCTCAAGGTGTTCGATGGGGTTGAGGTCAGGGCTATGCGAGGGCCAGTCAAGTTCTTCCACACCAAACTCACCCAGCCATGTCTTTATGGACCTTGCTTTGTGCACTGGGGCTCAGTCATGCTGGAACAGAAAAGGGTCATCCCCAAACTGATCCCACAAAGATGGAAGCATAACATTGTCCAAAATGTCTTCGTCTGCTGAAGCATTAAGATTTCCCTTCACTGGAACTAAGGGGCCTAGACCACCCCTGAAAAACAACCCCATAGCATCATCCCTCCTCCACCAAACTTTACAGTTGGCACAATGCAGTGAGACAGGTAACGTTCTCCTGGCATTCGCCAAACCCAGACTCGTCCATGAGACTGCCAGATAGAGAAGCGTGATTCATCACTTCACAGAATCCGATTCCTCTGCTCCAGAGTCCAGTGGCAACAGCAGCAGAAAAAAAAACTGCACACTCTTTGGGGAAATAACCTGCACCCTCCAGCTGAAATGGAGATTCTGCTGTTGCTTGATTCTCTAGCTGTGCTCCAAACGCTAGGCTGCAGCTGAGAAAGGGGGGTCCTCAATAGGACTGTCCTCTCAATGCTCTATGTTTGTATTACACAATGCAAAACAGAATGGTTTGCCAAGGCCAATCTGTCACGTCATTAGAAAGGAGTTGGCACAAAATTTAACGGTGATGTGAATAACAAATTGGCAAGGAAAAAACTGATGTAAATGAAATATGTGACAGGCAAAACAAATAGATTGCAATTAAATGCTGTCCTGCATGTTAAAAACTGTTAAACTAACTGAAAGCAGGTGCATGTCACACCCCGCATTCAATTTCAAGCTAAAGAAACAGCATGCTGTATATGTTACTATATACTTTACTGGCCTTTTCAAAACGTACATTTAATCTGCTGGCATTTCTCTTCAACTTTCATCATGTTAGATGTGTGTGCAAAGGATAATTGTTGACAAGATACCATGAATGATAATCTAGTAGTGTCCTTGAGAAACGTCAGACTGTAGGCCGCATTTCTTGGCTGTATTCGAAGAATCCTTATGATTGGAACAGGCTTGGATAGCGTAGTGGTCCAGAAATGCAGCCTTTTGTTTGTGCCTATACATAGTTTTTATAATGAGCAGACTGAATACAATCAAACATGGTGGATCAAATGCCTGGTCAGCTGCATCATTTAAGCAGCAATGCTAATAATGACATGCAACAGACAAACGGAACTGAATAAAATCTCGGAGGACACAAAAAATCTTTTTTTGAGAAACTTACCCATCGTAAAATAGTCAGACATTATATTGGTAGCATAATGTCTCACACTTATACTGCACCTCTCCTTATGAGAAATGGATCATAATGGATTCTAATTAAACTTTCTTTTATTACTGAGTGTCAAAAAAGGAAAGCAAATAACTCACTCAAATGCAAAGAAGAGTCCACTTGTGATGACGATGAGAACGAGAGTTAGGTAGAAGACGCCAGTCTGTCTTGCCATCATAATCCTGCCATCACAATAGAATTTATTCCTTCCAGGGAAAACCTGCCACTTCCTCTTCATAGTCCTTCTCTTATGTGGGGACTCCATTGGTGTCGAGCTGCGAGTGCTGATCTGACTGTACTCACACTCTCGCATATGCTCAGCTACCCCGAAATGCATCCGTTGAGTGAAATCCCAAACAGCAATCCTGGGGATCCAAAGATGAAGCTGTTAAAACATTGACAATGTGCTGCAGTCAACCAGCTATGATTTGAAACAAGGAAATTACTCTCAGGTGTAATGTACTGAAGGATTTCTTCGCTCACCAACTACCTAAAACCAATCTATTTTAATACAGACATGAAGTGACCATATTATTAAGCAGCCTTGCTATCCACTGTAATCCAGACATCCATTCACAAACCACAGATTAGTCCCAGGTAGTGAAAAAAGCAAGGTAGCAGGTGCACAAACACCTACGAACCTGTCAGACAATGAGCAGAACCAGCTGTGGTTGAAGACGTGGGCAGATAATTAGCAAGTATGACTAACATTGTTGGTGTGCAGCAGAAACTGCATATCTCCCAAAATACAACTTGTAAGGAAAAAAATATATATAATAGTAGAGATAAGAGTGCAACACATGGCGTTTTTGTTGGTATCTGCAACTTCCACCACATATTTCAAGGCAGAAAATGGGGAGTTTCTAAAGCGTGTAGGCATGAAAAGTTTATAAAAATCTGCAAAGCTGCAAAGTTTCTGACAGCTAGCTTATGGACAGCTGACGCAAACAGCAATAACCATATAGGTCTAAACTGGTTGGCTAGTCTTTTTCTTCTATAACTACAGTAGTTAGGTTATATAATAATATGGCACAAAACATCACAACAAAATTTTTTTTTGAAGTTATATGATGTTTGCATAATGTCACCTCTTGTTAAACAGATTGTTAGCTGATATATCATCTAACAGAAATCACTAGCAATTTAGTATGACTAAATAGAGTGGTGCGGTTTTTACCAGGTCATTTGTTTTTATTCCATACAGAGTTTTCCATGGTACAGTAAATGTCATGATATTTTGGGAAGCAATTTAAAGGTATATTTTCATAGTTACTACGGTTGATAATTTAAAGCCAAAACTGGTACCTGCATGCAGTTCACAACTGAACAAATGTATTCTGTAGTCAAGCTTGTGTTCATCCGTTGCCTAAAAACACTTTATTTGGAATCAGACTGCTTTCAATTATTTTTATATAAATGCAGTGTTAGTTTTTGCATTTAAAGGGGGATTCCACCAATTTTCCATGCTGCATGATCTAATAGGCAACATGTAAAAAAAGTCATTGATAGTTATGTGATGAAATGATGCACTGCACAGAACCTTACCAACTCAGATTTCTTTACAATGGAGGAACCAGACGTCTCCCTCACAGAAAGCTGTTACATGAAATGGTTGGATATATGCTGCCTGATGTCTTATATGTTGTTTCATGATAGTTTTGTAACAAAGTTTTGACTTTAAATGTATTTCAACCCCTTTATTTTAATCTACTGATGGCAGAGGAGTACATGCAAGGCACTGTGAGGCAAAACAAACGCATTTACCACTATTTTGCCATAATTAACATTATACGTAAACTGTCTTTGCTGTAGACATGGCGACCCCTGGTTCCCATCGCCACCACTTTGAGCCAGTCAGAGTCAGTAAGTTATTCTACAATTAATCGCTTCACATCAAAACACTCTGAATGACTGTTTATATCTCAAGGACTGAATTATTCAGAAATTCTGAAAACTGGTGGAATTCCCCTTTAAGCTAACGTTCACCTGCCTGTTGCTTGCTAGCCAAATTTACCACACCTTAATAACTCGGACCCAGTGAAAGATGGTCTGGCCAGATAGATGGCTACCTACTAAGTTTCTCTTTTAAGAGAGCTGCTCAGGTATAGTAGTGATATGTGACCTGTTTTTTGTTTGACTTTATCTTATATGTTTAAAGGCTGGATAAAAACTAGCTCGCTTAAGTAGTTAACGCTAGCTAGTTAGCTATTTACTAACGTTAGCCAAGTTAGCGTCAGCTAACTTTACCAGACACACGAACTTCTTGAAACGCAAGACTGGTTAACTTAAGAGTTATACATTGAATGATTGTGGGAGAGTAATGTTATTAAAAAACATAAAAAAATGATAATTAGCTAAAGATTTCTCTGATTAAATGCCAGACTTTCGCAGTGTGGTTACTGTTAAGGTTAACGTTAACCTACGTGAAGTAAAGTTAAAGCTGCTTCTTGTTTGCTTTTACTGCTCCACTCAGCTCATCACCTCCTTAAAACCCCTTTCTACAACTTTCAGTCTGTATTTCTGTAGAAAAAAGTTGACTTTTACGTTTTTGCTTCTTTTACAGCGTGTATCTGTAACTTACTAGCTAGGTTAACTAACTACAATAGTTTTATGGGATGTGTAATGTAATGGTAGAAAGCCAGCAGCATCGAGGTGACAGGTTTGTTATAACTTAGTATTGTAAATTTCATTTCTTAAGTCGTAATTGAGCAGTTTTGTGAGGTTAAATCAACGTGTACGGTCAGAAAAATGACATGAAATGTGCATAGAGGCTTAAGTTGACTTCCTATTTGAATTCGAATCTTCCCGTTCCACCTTAAATGGTGCAACAGCTAATGTAACTGCTGCACCATTTAAGGTGGAACGGGAAAATTCGAACAAGAAGCTGGAGAATAAGGAGCAGGAGCTTTTTCACGTTTGGAAACGGGGATCTAACTCTAACTAATCCGCCCTACGCAGCAGGCAGCAGCAGCAGCAGCTATACTCACCCATCATTAATGTTAATATCAGGCTCTAACAGGCTCTTGCTTCTTTTCTCTCTCTGCCTCTAATGCAGCCAAATCGAGACCATCCCATCTTTTTATCACCCTAAACTCGGTGATCTGATGTGAATGTGAACTTACCACAAAAACAGGAGCCTCCTATGTCTCTTCAGTCTCTTTAGTTCCGAGACGCAGCCCTCCTTGGTTGGTCGTTATCCTGGTTTGTTCCGAACAGCTGCCAAAACTAAACGAAACATTTTCCTTTTCTGTTTCTTTTTCTTCTTTTAAATGGTTTTGTACAAGTTCTCCCCTGAGACAGTCTCGGGTTCGTGTTGTAGGAGCTGTTGCGTTGTAAAACGAAGCGTGATTTCAGATTTCAGTGCCCGTCCTGCTGTAATCCGCTCAGGCTGAGAGGTGGAGGAGAGACGCTTTTGGTGTGATGGGGGTGTGAAGGCTGCTCCGGGTCACTTCTCGGTAGATTACAGTCCGTTTTCACTCCGCCGGTGGCGTGTTGGGGTGTGAGTGTGTGTTCCTCCCTGCACCTTCACACCAACTAACACACATACACACACAACCTGGAGCGAGTCGAAGGTTCCGGGACTGAGATATTTCCCTGTATTCTTTGCGCGGGGAGGATTGTGGGGGATGTAGGCGAAGAGGCCGCTGTATCATTCACTATATTCATATTCTGTCTCGCTCTCTCAGCCTACCTACCCAACATCATAGAAACCTTTAAAAGTTTTTGCTGGTTCCTGGTGGGTCCAATAGTCAGTAATGATATTTTATGTTTTCCTCAAGGGTTGGTGTCACAGTGTAACGGATTCTAATGGTTAACAGGTGTTCTGGGGCTGATTCCAGACGTATTTGATGGTTTCCTAAAGGGATCTAATGGCATCCTACAGGAAACTTAGTGGTCTCTAGTGGCCATGTGGTTCTAGTGGTCTAGACAAAAAGCCAGGGCTGAATTTAGTTCCCAGTCCAGCCCTGTCACCACCGCTGGGAACATTTCTGACTAGGAGAGTTTCTCTAGAACATCAAAACTACTATTAACAACTTTTTTTTTTATCTTAACTATTTCAATAACTATTTCATTTATTTAATAATGTAGAAGTTTTGAAAAAACAGTGGAATTAATTATCATTAATACTTTTAATACATAATTTATGTGGCGTTACACTTGTCACAATGTAAACTGTTTTTGTTGTATTATAATACATAGTTAAACAGTACAAGGTTCAATTAATAAAAAATAATAATAATAATAATAAACTATCTACATTCTTTAGAAATTAAAATGTAAGGCGTGAATCAGAGGAATCCTTTAACAGTATAGGATGAACGGCTTCCAGCCACGATTTTGATGAGATTGTAATAGCATCCTGGGTTACTGACTCGGTGACCTCCTTACCAATTTCAGCTCATTCTTACCCTCTATATCCCCCCACATCATTCAGCTTCCCACCAGCACACTCCTACACCCCCCACCTCCTCTGAACGAGCTCGCTCTGATTGCTCAGTTTGGCAGGAGCGTGAGTCACTTGTTCCTGTGCCTCTGCACTAGACACGAATTCACACTTTCGAGTGTTCAACAGTTCTAACCTGAGCATCGAGAGGAAGAGAACAAAGAAAAGACATTTTATGCATGATAACAGTAAATTCCAACATTACAGACCTAATGCCTGACAAAATAACAACAGTAGCAAAGGTCAAAAGGTCACAGACTCAAAGCCCACTTACTGTACCTGGCTGTACAATTTGGCAGAGAAGAGCAGAAGGTTTGATGGCTCAGAATATGAGGAAGATTGAATAGGATAGTAGAATTTGGAGCAGTGATATCACCAAGTGGTGGATACGGACAGCAGGATTTTTTGCATGGAAATTCAGACTCGCCTTCCGTAGTTATTGTTGCTAGGTTTGTCAAACTTTTAATACAGGTTACCTGTAGTATCCATAACACCACCAAATACTAACAAACTAAAAAGCACTCGTTTAAAAATAAACTGGCTTTAAAGTATGTTTAGTGCAGTTCAAATAACAAAATTTAGGCCAATTTAAAGTAATTTAAAATGAACTACACTATATGGACAAAAGTATTGGGACACTCTTAATCATTGAATTCAGGTGTTTCATTCAGTCCTATTGCCACAGGTGTATAAAATCATGGACCTAGCCATGCAGTCGGCCTTTACAAACACTTGTGAAAGAATGGGTCATTCCAAAGAGCTGAATTCGACCGTGGTTCTGTAATAGGATGCCACTGTTGCAACAAGTCAGTTCATGAAATTTCTTTCCTCCTAGATATTCCACGGTCAACTGTGAGTGGTATTACTGAAAATTAGAAGCATTTTGGAACCACAGCAACTCAGCTACGAAGTGGCAGACCACGTAAAGTTACAGAGCAGGTCGCCGAGCAAAGAGCATAGTACATAAATGTCCAACACTCTGCCGACTCAATAACTGTGCCAAACCTCCTCTGACATTAACATCAGCACAAAAACTGCACGTCGGGAGCTTCGTGGCATGAGTTTCCATGGCTGAGCAGCTGTATGCAAGCCTTACATCACCAGGTACAATGCTAAGCGTCAGATGGAGTGGTGTAAAGCGCCGTCACTGGACTCTGGAGCAGTGGAAACGTATTCTGTGGAGTGATGAATCACACCTCTCTGTCTGACAGTCTGATGGATGAGTCTGGGTTTGGCGAATGCCAGGAGAACGTTACCTGCCTGACTGCGCTGTGCCAACTGTAAAGTTTGGTGGAGGAGGGATGATGCTCTGGGGTTGTTTTTCAGGGGTTGGTCTAGACCCCTTACTTCTAGTGAAGGGAAATCTTAATGCTTCAGCAGACGAAGACATTTTGGACAACTGTATGCTTTTATCTTTATGGGAACAGTTTGAGGAAGAACCTTTTCTGTTCCAGCATGACTGAGCCCCAGGGCACAAAGCAAAGTCCATAAAGGCATGGGTGGGCGAGTTTGGTGTGGAAGAACTTGACTGGCCCTCACAGAACCCTGACCTCAACCCCATCAAACACCTTTGGGATGAACTAGAACAGAGATTGTGAGCCAGGCCCTCTCATCCAACATCAGTGTCTGACTTAACAAATGCTCTTCTGGAGAAATGGGCAAAAGCTCCCACAGACACCCTCCGACATCTTGTAGAAAGCTTCCCAGAGGAGTTGAAGCTGTCATGGCATAGATGGGGGAACAACTCCATCTTAATGCCTATGGATTTAGAATCGGATATCATAAAAGTTCCTGTAGGTGGAATGTGTATGTGTCCCAATATTTTGTCCATATAGTGTATGTTTACATTAACTGAAGCAGGGAAATCAAGTAGTCACTCGACATTGAAGCAGCAGGTTTAATAAGGAAGGTTTTTTAGTGATGGAAGTTGCCCTTTCAGATGAGCTAATGCTAAAGCTAACACTAGTAAGAGCAATGTCAGATGCTGAGGAGGGCTCAACATCTTTTTACACAAAGTCTTTCGGCTAATTTTCCTGTAACATTTTCATGTAACAGTACATAGAATGGCATTATTATTTATCTTCACACGTTTTAATCACAAATGTGTCATCACAGCTAAATTAAGAAAAGATAACAAGTTCATTAATTGATCTTAATATTTTTCTGTAACTTGGTACGCGGACGCTTTAGAAGCAGAGAGAAGTCATAACATTTTGATTAAAAATTACGAAAGAAGTCTTATAAATGACATATAATGAATCCTGCTTGATATGATAACAGACATGAACTAACAAGGTAAAAAAGGTCAATTCTGATTTCATGTTCACTTTAAAGAATCATTCATTCAACCATCCAGGTTCTTTAGGGAACTAAACATGGTTCCTCTATGACATTGCTCTAAAGAACCTTTTTGGTTCCCTAAAGAATCTGGATAAATTTTTTTAAATCCTTAAAGTGAACAATAAGCAACCACCAATTGAACCATCTCAGTTCTTCAGCGAACCAAAATTGGTTCCTCTATGGCGTTGCTTCAAAGAACCCTTTTTGGCAACTTTATTTTTAAGAGTTTAAGATTAATTTCTGCCTGAAAACAGAGAGGTGTAATAATGTCCTTTAAAGTTATTCAGCTCCATGACCTACCAGTATATTCAAAGCCTCTGATTAGACATCTTTGAGATAAAGGAGAGTGGTCTGCCTACACAAACCACAGTCTCACTTCATTAGTGTGAAAATACGCACATGGGCGGTTTGTCTGTAGCAAATCAGTTCTGCAAAGACAAAGTGGCCATAAGAAATACTGAGTTTGCTGAACTTTTGCAGATTTTGCTCAACATCATTTATTTTTAACTACAGGATCCCGGGAGAATAAAAAAAACAGATTTTGCATTAGCTGTCCATTTCCATGTATTTCCATGTAATTTTAACAAGTAATATGCTGACCATGGCACTTCAACACATGATTACCAAAGCCTGATCGGTGGTCAGCTACTATACAGAGCGTACAGAAACTTTATACAGACAGAACATAGTCACTACCCTTGCTCAAAAACCTGACCCCATTAACAAAATATTCATACCAATAATTATCATAGATGTAACAACAAGAACAGTAATTTCATCTTTACAAACTACAATCACTTTGTAGTTACCACATTTGTGAGAAAACAAAAATGAAATGAAAAGAAAAACAAAACAAAACACTAACAGTAAAAACAATGTACAACATTTTACACAGCAGTACCTTGGGGTTAAAAATGTAAATAAGGTAAAATAAGTGTTAAATACATACATCCATTGTTAATGATAGCAATGGATATGACATCAAGGAGGCAAATAATAAAAATCAGTCCAAGATTATCTTTTTTTTAATAACTGATACAATACTGCCACCCCCTGGCAAAACACATAATGTGCATGATAAATATGGGAAAAAAAATCACATCTCTCTTGCCTTGAACAGGCGATTTGCACCATAATATTGCACAATTCATTTTTTCAGATGGATATAACAAAATGAGCAAAAGCAAGCTTCTTTTATCTGAAATGCCAAAGAGAAGCTCTATCTACAATATTCTCAAATCTTAAATAATTTTGCTTTCAAAAACAAATCCACAGATACTGATAATGTACATTTAGAAAATTTCAAAAGTTTATAAAGAGCGAAGGGGAGGGGGCCGGGAGATCGTCGTAGATCCTCTGAACCAAAAGTCAGACATTACCTTTGGTTACTAAAATAAAAACAAAATAAACAAGAGACAAACATTCAAACAGCAATATTAAACATCTGTATTAAAATCATTTTCTAAAATCCCCAAATGAAAGTGTTAATTCGGCACAGAAGCTATACATATAGATTTATTTCATATAGTCATATATAAACCAAGTTTTTTTTGTTTAAATATAAATATAAAAGTGCCTCATCCGTGTCATTTGTGTAGTCCGGCTCTCTGTCATGACTTGCCGAGGTGAAAGAGTATTTCACAGATAACGGCCACCACGCTTGTATTGAGCACAGTGGAAATGGCTATGTCCAGCAGCCTGCTTTCATAAAGCACAAACTCAGGCCTGTTCTCCTCCACCTTGGCCAGTTCCAGAAGTGCTTTGGCAGCTCGACACATCATGTTTACACTGGGCTGGTCCATGGGAGGATGCCCCATGTGGAGGAGGCTATGTGGGTTTTGGTGATACTGAGTCATGGCGATGCCGTCCTCTAGGAAGCCTATGAGGTTGCCAATGCTGCTTCTTTGCACAGCGATGCCACGTGCTGCTGAGCAGTCCCCTCTGGCCAGGCTGGACAGAATGGCCACGGCCATCTCTCTGAAAACTTGCTGCTTTCTCTCTCCAACCTGCCGCACCAGTGTGGCGAAGAGTTTCTCCTGCCGGCTGAAGGGTGGCGTGGCCAGGATCAAATCAACATTGCCGTCCTGGACACTGAGCTTGCACAAACATTCCAGCACCAGCCTCTGGGGGCTAAGCTGAGAATGTGATCTTACTGAAGGAAAGGGGTCCTGGGCCTCTGCTGAAGGACACACCATCCAGTGGAGAAGACCATCCAGGATAGGAAGGCAGATGCTCTCTGGGTAGACTGACAGGTCCAGCTGTCCAGCAATGTTGGCCAAGGTAACCATGGTATTCTCTCTCAAAGCTGCCAAACAGTCCCACCACCATTCGTCCCTGCTACAGGCCAGGCCCTGTTCCTCCTTGGGGAGCTCATCTTTCTCGTAGGTCGGGACGCTCCTCTTCCTCTCTGGATGCTCGTGGTGTAGCAACAGCAGCCGACCAAGGATCAGCACCAGACCCGGATGCCTTGACATCTCAGTATCATTTCCAGGGATGAAGGACAGGCTGCGGATGATGTTAGAGACACATATGCAGCGTTTGGCCAGAGAGTCCTGCCAGCTGGCCGCTGTGGACAGTGGAGCCTCGTCAGGACAGTGTGGCTCATCCTCCAGCAAAGTGATCCCTTTTTGGTTCTCATGAAAACGGAATGGATATGAGGCATTGCTCAAGGAGGTAGAAGGGTTTTCTCCCTCAGAGAGTGCCCTTGCTCTGGGGCATAGCACGTCATCTATAGTTGCAACTCGGCTGTTATCCACCTCCTCTGATTTTAAAGCATAGCCGAGTTGCGGACCTTGAACACTCTCGCCACGAATCTCAAAGTGTGTCTGGATGTGGCTTGTGGAGTCCCCCCCACCTGCTTTCCAGTGAAGTAGGCCGCTAGTGAACTCCTGCACATGGCCAAGCTCATCAGAAATGTCTTCTACGAAGTCATCTTTGTGCACAATCTTCACCGGCAGCTTATCATACTTGCTGGCCTGTTTGGGCCTTGGCTCAGGCACCGAGGATGATGACTGGCCCTCAAGAGGCTCTGTAATATCCTCAGATTCCTTTACACACCCCTGTTCATCCTTCTCATCTTTCTCCTTTATCAATAAGTCCTTTTTGCGATCACCCTCCTCTTTCGGGTCTGCCTCTGAAAGAGCAGATGGAACCTCTACAGAGTCTTTCTGTCCAGCCTCTTGGCTGGACTCTGGCTCACAGGTGTTCTCCGGAATGGGGGAGTCGTCCTCTTTTTGATCCTCAGTTGGACCAAGCAGAGTCTTTTGGCCAAGGGTGCCCACCTCATATTCCTCCAGGATCCCAAAGATCTCAATCAAACATCTTCGTAAATGCTCAACAATAAGCTCAAGGAATCCAGGCAACTAAGAGGAAAAATGGACAAAGTTATTTCAGAAGCTAAAAACAATCCTAATGTTTTTTTGCAGTAGGGGCATGCTATCTTAATACCTGAGACAGGTTGAAGGATGCCACAGTGCTGTCATCGTACAAGAGGATGTTGATGGTGTCCAGAGCCCATGTGCTCTCTGCCAGCAGACCAGACTTGAGAGACATCATCACTCGCCAGGCCTCTGGGGTTCCTTTAGATGAAATCAGAAAGGTTAAACCACAGTTGTAGTGCAAGTCATTGTTCCTCACACTCATCAGCAAACATTACTTACACATGCATTTCTAAACAATGAGTTAAAGATTGATGATAACATACAGTAACATACTGTGCAAAAGTTAGAAACTAACCTTTCATTTATTTAATTGCCAGTAAACTCAAGTTATTCATTTTTAAGCAGAAAAAAACAGAAAACATACATTTAAAAGAAAATTACAGAAGCCCCAACAACTACATGTAATATTTCATTAATATTCCAAGTTCAGCCTTAGAGTTCTCATGCAAGGAATGCATGTAATCCCAAATACAAATTTAGTCCATTAAACCTTATTCCACATCTCAGATGTCCAGTTTCGGAGTTCTAGTGCAAATTTTCTTCTGTTTCCTTTTCTCAGTATTAATTCTTAATAGCTACACATCCTTTTCGATGCTTATTTGAGCTGAATTACAGTGGAAGTAGATGCACAAAAGTAAAGATTGAACAAATTAAATACTGGTAAATTACATATTGTACTTAGTGTTGGAGGATTTCTGTTTCCTGCTTTTTTCAGACAGTGAAAAATGAATGACTTCTACTTGACTTCAATTTAAACTGGAAATTAAATTTTAAAAAGCTTTTGCACAGTACTGTATTTATATAGACAATGCTATTACTTACCAGTGTCTTTTGAGGTCATTTTGCGCCGAGGTTTTAGGTGAGGCTGGGTTCCCTCCACAGACCCCAGTGGATAGTTGAGGTCTCTCCTCAAGTTGGGTGGCATCTGGCCTGGGAGTCCACTACCTGACCCACCTGGCATGGGCATTCCTGGCTTGTGCATCTTCATTGACTGCATAAAGGCAGCTTTATTAGGCGACATGTGTGCTTCCATGGAGCGTTGGAAAGAGCCTGGGCTTGGGTCGTGAGAAATATGGTTAGAGGTCTGGTAGGAGGATGGAGGCTGCCGTGAACTCAACGGTGGCATAGAGTTAGAGTGACTGGGAATATAGGGTGATTGACGCTGATGCCCGGGCCACTGGTTTTCTACTCTCATTCCATCCAGGTCATCCACTCGTCCCACACCTGGATATGGAGAACCTTGATTAGACGTCCCATGTCTGTTAGGGTAAGGATAGGGCATTTCTGTCCTTGAGGGCCACATGTGCGTTTGCCCTTCGCCTGTGGATGATGAATGGCCCCCGCTCATCATGCTGTGCTGTACAGGATGCTGCTGAGGTCCCTGGCTGGTGTTCTGCAGCCGGTCCCGGCCATACGGATAAGGGAATTGTGCCTGTATGGGCCGGCGGTCAGGATAATTACTCCCATATTGACCATACATGTCAGGCTGTGGACCGCCATACTGCATGCCATAGACCTCCCCTTCATGCCTCTTTCCGGGAGGGCTGTACATCCCATCAAGTGGACGCTTGTAGCCCTGTTACAATGGCAAAAGCTTTAGTATTCGCAGAATTATGTACATAATGAATGATGTAGCACAGTATATGACTACATATTGGATTTTTCATAATAGTAAGCTTTGACATGTTTGGTTTGTGGTAGAGACAGCAAGTTGGACATTACCATGAAAGCATCTCACCTGTTGTTGAGGATACATTCCTGGAGGGTGGACACCGTATGGCATTGGATACTGCTGTCCATAGCCATCATGTCTGTGCAGGAAAAGAGATTAAACAGATCATATCATAACATTGCAATATATAGGTAATGGACATTAAGGCATTCATATCCATCTGTACTGGTCTAGTTCAGTTTCTAGTCGTCCTGGTCCCCTTACCTTGCATATTTTTGACACCCTTGACTGAACTACTCAGCTAATTAACAAGGCCTTATCAAGTCGAAATGGGTGTAAACTTTTTCATGCCAGCACCCACACAGAGATTTAGGGATTTGTCCTGAGACCCACCAGATATTTTGTGAAGGGAAATAAGACATGAACTCATCAAAGCATGTGTGCAAAAGCATCATCACAAAAGTCCTAAAGATGTCAGTGAGTAAAACAAGTGCAATAGCCTACTATGATAAAAGAATGAAACATGCATAGCGGCCTATTATTACATATTTAATGAGATAACAAAAAAGTACTAAAATAATTATGGAAATTTTTCAACATCACAATGTTTGGGTCCTTTACCACTGTGATATGTGAGACCTCCACCAAAAGTGCTTGTTTTATTCCAGATGTGATGTGGTACAGTGGCAAAGCTAGATGTTTAAGTGTAGTATTTTGTGCTCCCAGTAGCATGTAGCTTGCAGCAAAAAGCATAAAAATAATCTTAAAGCTTAGAGTTCTGCAACAACAAGGCCTTTCAATGCAGAAAACATAACCGCATTCAATGCACACATGAGCGCTTTGCAAGAAACGACATAGTTCTGATCTAAAATGACCTTCATTTAGCTTTGCTTTCTCGGCTTCCCTGCGGCCCACACTGTGACCCGTTAGTGGGTTGTGACCCACAGTTTGAAAAACACTGTGTTAGAGCAGAGAAAACGACCAAATGTGTGAGACGGGCTATTCCAGGGCCAGGATTGGGAACCCCTGCCTTAGTTTGATAATCGTTGATATCGCTGCTGTTGGAATAAAACTCGTATCTCCATTTTTGGCGTTTTGCAGTTTTTGATATAATTTGAAAATGCCTGTTGGTCTTTACATTGTGAAGGATGGACCAAAAGAATCAGCCCAAAATGGCTTGGAAAAAATTCTAGTTCCACTGACTTACATTAAAAGTACAGTATATTTTTTCCTTCTCCTGTAAAGTTACCATATTGGAAATACGAGGTTTTGTTCCGACAGCAGCGATATGCTTTATTATTTCATAAGACAAAATCTAAGAGTTTACCTTTGTTGATTTGGGTATCTATTAGGAGAGTACATGCTACCATCACTATTGGCATGGCCCATGTTGCCTTGATTCCCAGGAGGTCCCATGCTCCCTTCCATCCCCATTACATGGTCTGATCTGGAATAGAAGTGACAACCAAATTAATAGACAATTAATGATATAGCATTTCTACTTGGTACATTACTTTGGCACCATATTTTGTCGCTGTTGGGACTAATATCTCAAAAAAAAAACTTTACAGGAGAAGGAAAAAAAACACAAAACAACAATGTATGAAGATTTGAAGTCAGTTTTGATCAGTTCTGTTGGACTTAATTTTCTGAATTTTCGACATATGTATACGACAGCTGGTGTTTCTAAATTAAAAAAAGCCAAAAACAAGGTTTTGTTTTGACAGTGATAATATACTGGTTAAATAAAGAGGCAAACAGAAGGGACGACAAAATTAACATACAGTTAAAAATTAAAATGAATATATAATTAAAGATATAGCACTTTGTACTTGGTACCACATGTACTGTTAAATAAAGAAGCAAATGATGCATAAAAATGGTTTAACATGAAGCTAAAATCCAAAAACTAGTGTAGTATTTGTGTGTATGTATGGTAGGCATCTAACCTCCGATCATATCCAGGTCCATAAGGATACTGAGAACGCTGGCCCATGCTCAGCCCAGACATGGGTCCACCAGAGGCACTCCTGCCATAAATATCCTGCATGCCAGCAGGGGGCATTTGACCTGGCATGCATGACTCTCCACCTGCAGCTGAAAAGGGATACAATTTAGAGAGTTAATGTTATCCAGAAGGTGGCAGCAGCCTCCTGAATATAATCACTCATACTGGATTAAAGACCTAAAACAGGTGGAGAAGAGAAAATCACAGGCAAAACAAAGAGTTAGAAGTAAAAACAAAATAGAGATAAATGGACAGTTGAACATCACATACAGAAAGGAAATAAATAAAAAAACTAGTAGATAAATATTATTTATTATTAAAGAGGGGATGAAGGGCAAAAACTGTACTGAGTCAACAAATAGGTAAAGAATGTTGCTTGAATTTGAAGTATTATGTTGACCAAAATAAATCACTAACCCTTCCTCATTCCTGCAAAATGGTCCTTATTTTCAAACTGCATCCTCATCATGGGGTCCATGTTCATGCTTGATTGATAGGGCCCTCCAGAGCTCAGTAAATTCCTTTTCTGGAAGGCAGGGTCACTGCCATCTGAAAAGGGGTCCTGGATGCTTATAGAATTATTCCTGTTAAACCAAGGCCAGAGAGATTATGTAAATTCAAATATAAATTCAAATATGAATCATACATATGCAAATGCATGTTTATACAGATAAGAGAACATCATGTATTGTACTAATATAAACATATAGAATGCACTTTGGCATGCATGATGAATTGTGTGAAGTTGATGGAACTGATCTGCATGCATTTCCCTCTGCATTCCCTATATAATATGAAAGCTACAGTTAATTCATCAGTAACATTTATTTGTTAAGCAACTGTGACATCTCAGAGAAAATAAATTAATGTTAATAGATGCTCACCCAAGTGCAAACAAATGGATTAAACAAGTGGAACTGAGCCAGATGATATTGAAAACACAAATAACACCCCGAATTCAGAAACATGCAACAGTTAGCCTGGCATGTGGGATCTCATTTTAATCCTTTTTATTAATTTTCTCTTAAATAGTTAAGATGAAAGGAGGGAGGGTAGCAAAAGGGGACAGAGGTAGAGTATATACTAAACAAAACACATTACAGATTTAAAAAGAAATGAGTAAAACAATGGAAGAAGACTCTATTTGGCCTAAACATTGAAAACTGTATTAATTAATTACTAATTACACACACCTAAATATTTACCTATGCTGAAGTTTATATTTGCACTGCAAATATTAAACTACTCTGGTAGCAGATAAATGTATAAAATGATTCTAAGACGTTAGTCCTGCTCAGCCTTTAGAGTTTCAGATAATTCATAGAACATAAGAAAGCTGTATAAATAACAAAATGACAAAAATTTAGAAATGTTACATATGTCCAGAGTGATGAACAGAGCTGCGGAAGATTTCAAAATTGAGTGAAAAAGCTGTTTAACATTGAGAATTAAGTTATAATAAAATTAATATCCAGAATTAGTCATATTTCAAAAGTGGAGATCAAATCTCAAGGCAGGTAACTTGAAATAAAATGTATGTAATAGATAATTATGATATATTATTGATCCTTTATCTGACTTCTGCTTCAGAGAATTCTTAAAACACTGAAATAAACATCTGAAAATACCTTTTGTTGTACAATTTTAGTGTAATTTCATATTTAAATGCACACTGTAAGTTGTTATTGATATAAAATAACAATTGTTAAAATGGCCAAACGTTTGAACAGTATTAATACCTGACCTGTGACAAAGCTCCTGACCTCATGAGTGTTATTATTTTACATTTACACATTTAGGAGACCTCCTTATTGAAAGCAACTTACAGTTTAATGATGCTACAGTAGGTGAACACAGTGTTAGGACTCTTGCCCCAAAGACTCTTTTTGGTATTGTGTTCTTGCCCAGGTGGGGAACAGAACCCCACTCTACTGTGTGGAGGTTATACCAGCCATTACTGCTGACTTCTTGCTAATGCAAAAAATATTTAACAGAAAGAAAGAAATCTCAGGTGATGTACGCCCTGCTTTCACCTGTTGCTCTGCATGCTGTTGACCTGTCCTTGTGGTGTAGTGGCCGGGGTGGGATGTTTAAGCTCATTGGGCATTTCAGGCATAGAGCTGCTGCCGGTAGACTGGGGTGTCTGAGGACCCTGCAGAGAGCCGGAGTTGGCTGAGACAGGAGAGAGATAGAAAGAGGGGGAGGTAGAAAACAGAAAATAGGAGGGAGAGAAAAACACGAGAGAGAAAAACACAGTTAAGATCCTTCAGACTCTGTGCGATAAAGAGAAAGACAAGGTAACAGACAAGACAGCACACAGGACCATTTTCTAGAACAGAACAAATAATTGTCAAGGTCAACTCAATAGAATAAACAAAAGAGTTTGAAAGACGGTAAAAAGAGAAAGACTTTTCACAAAGGCATGTCAAGTTTTTTGACAGGTTGACATAAAAAAACACTAAAAACTCACATGCATAAGCTATCTCTACATTTTATACCAAGAGTTTGACTACATTTCAACAAATAAAAGAAAATGCAAGACTCAACAGTACTAATACAATTATTAACTGAATCATGTAAAAGCAAATTTGTTGCAAATACATGTAAACATGATTGAAATATGAGGCTTATAATCTAATAGTAGATTTGTAGTAAGCTGTAAAATTAGGATGGGTTCAATTTTCTTGAACACAGCTGTAGATGATGTAGATGATGAATAAACTTATAATAAAATAAATATCCAGAATGCTTTATATTCAAAACGTGATCAAAAATTGATCAAACTGCTGTCTATAGTGATTTTGTGACAAGAATGTACTAAAATTAGATCATTACAGTTTGTTATTTAATTACATTTGCTATTTTTGACCATGTTATAAATTATTCTTGCTTGTTGCTCCCAAAATACTTTAAATTGGCAAAAAAACACGGGTTTACGGTTTGGTCCCTAGTTTAGAACATTTGAATTTATTATCAAAAAAACAATTATTTTTAATAATTATTATAAGTGATTCCAAACTTTTGAACAGTAGTGTATGTCTTTCTACTATGTATGCATTTGTTGTTGTTATTTGTGTATGTACTCGTTACTGAAAAATGATAAACAATGATATGTTTTAAAAAAGGGATCGACAATGTGGAAACAGAATGATGGATCTGTTTTATGTGACTTCGATTCAGAATTAATGTTATTCTTCGAGTACAGCATAATGAAAAGCTTTCTCAATAGAAAATCAAAAATCCTCAGTTCTCTTTGGAGTAACATACATTATAAATAAAACAGTATAAAATGGAGGACAGTGTAAAAAACTAGACTTAAGTGATAACGCAGTGCATGTAGTGTGATACTTGACCGTTTTTATACTGCACTCTATAAGAAAAATGTAAGGCGCTAAACTACATTATGCGGAAGAAAGGCAAGTAAGGTAAGCAGGCCTGGGGGACCGTGCTGGTGTTTGGGGGGCTACAGCAGAGCGGTGAGGGGCCGGTTTGTCCTACACTTGCAGTGCTGGAGGAGACTGGAACGTAGGGACTGTTTTGGAGCGGTGAGAGCGAGAAAGGCAGGGAAGGAGCGAGCGAGGAAAAGAGGAGAGAGAAAGGCTTCGCTGTGGGAATAGCCTGCCAGAGTGTGAGAAACTTGGGCTGTTCTGTTTTTGGCAGCTTCTTGAAGATTTTTCTCTCTCTCTTTTTTCTTCTCCAATTTTGGCGTGGTAAACTCAGTGAGGAGTTGCAGTGGAGGGTGTGCAGTCAGTGGGGAGAGGCTGAGCAGGTTCTGCTCTAGACAGGTGTGTAAAAATGTAACGGCACAGCCATGTGTCGGAAATGCATTTCCTACGAGGAAACGTCCTCTGGGTGAAGATCCAGGATTCACTCATATGAGTGACATGTTCTACACTTTGCAGTGAAAATGAACACAAAGATGTAACAAAAACACAAACACAACAAACAGATTTTAAAACCGGGATGTCACTGTCTCTACTGTGAAGTTAGGACAGTTGTTAGAATGATGCAGAACTAGAAGTACCTAGTATTTAATAGGTAAATATAAGGCTGGTGTGAGAGGGTGATGTAACTGGATATTAGCGATGACTGACAAGTAACCTGACGATCCTTCAAAGGCAAATTTTTTTGGAAATGGAACTGATCATGAGAACTAGGGAGGACTAATTTTAAACAGCTTGTTGAATAATATTAAAAATAATATATACATTTAATGTTTTATTCCCTTTTATTATTAAAGCAACAACTTATTAGGGGGCATTAATAAGCTGTTGGGCTCCATAAAACCAAATTTCTGTTTCTGCTGGGAGTTTTCCAGAGCTTTTTCTGTAAGCTTAAGTATCCTGAAGGCTCGAATGAGTTGTAAATTTATGTTAATATCTCAAAACCATGGAAAAGTCCTTTTTTTTTTTTGGAACTTACTTTTGGAAGTTTTTGGAACCAACGCACTAAACATTTAGCAGTCTGTCATTCCTCCACAAGGAGGCGCTATTAGCACTGCTCCTGCTGTCATGTGCATCATTTAAAGAAACAGTCATGAACCCACACCAACAGGAGCTGTCAAATTTTCAAAAACAGCTTAGACGCACATTCTATGCTGTCTTTAGCTTACATCATTTTTAGCTGTTAATACAAATCTGTAATGAAAATCACATTTTTAAGTAATATAATATTGAGTAACTAAACACTTTTTTGTAAAACTATTTTACCTCTCATTTTGAAAGAATCATTTTGAAACAAATAAATTTGAGAGCTCCTGCTGTTGTGTGCATCATTTAAAGAGAAGAAACAGCCACGAACCCACACCAGCAGGAGCTCACAAATTCATGTGTTTCAAAATGATACTTTCAAAATGAGAGGTGAAACTGTTCATTACAAAAAGTGTTTAGTCACTCAATATTACAGTACTTAAAAATGTGATTTTCATAACAGATTTGTATTTAATGCTAAAATTTATGTAAGCTAAAGATGGCATAGAATGTGCGTCTAAGCTGCAATGGATCATGTGTGTTTTTACTGGGAGCGATATCACTGATAATCCAAATTTTTTATACAAGAAAATATCATTTTCTTAGCTAATTATTTTTAGATATGTCTCAGGTCTAGTAAATATGTAATATGTTGCAAGGAATTTCTGGTACATACTTTCCACGTTGAATATTAAGGTATATAGAAACATATATGAAAGCTATCAGGTATGTACAGCAGAATGAGATGATAATTATCACATTTACTTAGACTTAAACAGGTAATTAAGCAGTACTTTCAAATGAAGCAAATAATACCAAATGCTTACTTTTCAAGATGACTTTGTAAGTACAAAGTAAATAGTATGAGAAATAACAGCCAGTTATGATTAAAAATTGCCAGTACCTGTTAAGTTACAGTATATATTCAGCATGCAAAGTATGGAATAGACATTGCTGGTAATTAGTACATATTTATCTATTAAATCTATACAGTGCTTACCGTACTGTTAAATATAAGTGCTATCATTATACAAATTAATCATCAAAACATCTTGTGTAGCTTAAATACAATGAAATACTGTGTTCAAATAGGATGATGTGGCCTGATTGGGATACAACACAAGCAGCATATGAACAGAGCAGAGAAAAACAGCAGTTCATGGTCTTTCTTTGCTCTTCAAACATCTTAAGGTAGGACAAAAATAAACCATCAATGGTTTAAAAAATTTATTTCAGTTCTGAATAATTAAACAATTATCATGCGCCTCCTCATTAGAAGCCAGTGAGGCACCAGAGCAGAAAAAAACACAGAAAGCATATGCAGCATCGCAGTTTGTCCTTGGAGAAAAGCAGCGAGATCGGGAATCCCTCCCTCTCTAGCATCTCTCTCTCTCTCTGCTCTGTTGCCCGCGGCTACACGTGGAAGTCTCCAAATGTAAACAAAAAAGGGGTTACGCAAGGTTAAGACTGTAGGAATTTCTCTGCCACTTTCTGTCCGATTCTCTGAGTCATGATGCGAGGAGAGAGAGGACGCTGGACTTGGGTGAACTCTGGTGACCTTTAGACTACTGTACTCCAGGGAGGGAACGTGGAGGAAAGAAAGAGAGAAGAAAAGAGGCAGAGATGATGATGATGACGATGATGATGATGAAGATGATGATGATGATGATGATGATGATGATTGAGGAGACGCTGACTTTGGAGAACAGGAAATGCTGCCGTGTTGCTTGGCTGCTGAATTGGGGTTGACTGGAGGTCATGCTTGTTTATATCCTAGAATGCATCCTCATTAATCTTCCTTGGGGGAATCCCATCACTCCCTCCCTCTCTCTTACGGGTGCTAGGCAACCCCATGACATCATCACCTGTCAGCTTCACATAGCCATGGGCACCGAGGTCTCTCATGAAAGCGCAAGCAGAAATGCCACAGAACAGCACGACTAAAGAGCATGATTTTACACCAGCTAACAACACGACCTCTCAGATTTCACTACCTCCACGTTCTGTTTAGTGAACCAGAAGGGATGAAGAAAGAGCTGCCCAGGCCTGCTCCATCAGAAAGTATCAGACACGCCACAAACTGCTGAGTCAGTGCCAGTTTCACAATGCTAATGAGCAATAAAACAGGCAGGAGAGAGAATCTAGTTGACCTTTATGATGTTTAAACTGCATTACTGGAAGAAACAAAAGAGTTTTAAAGATGGGATACACATCTGAGTGAAAATTTTAATGTTCAAAGTCTTGAACTGAATGTAACGTACTCAAAGTGGAAACCGTCTCCTACAAAACTATTGTAATGGATTTTTTAGAACTCTCTCTTGGCAGCAGTACCACCTCACCCCTCACCCCCAAATTAAAGACTCTTTAAATGTACACAATTCATGTGACATCTCTATGATTAAAACGGCGAATGTTAGCAAAAGATGGCGAGTTTGCATTTCAATGTAATCCTGCTGGTGATAACCCTATTTTTATAATGTACCTGTAATCTGATTACTGTCTTTTTTACTGTAACTGTAACAGAATACAGTTACCTTTTTTGGTATCTTGATTACGTGACACTGTCACTTGTATTCTGATTTAATTACTCTCTTGATGGATGTGATACAGCACAATTTTGAACCACATCTCACAGTGACAGCTAACCAGGCTAAAATACAGCCTCCACACGACGGGGTCAGTTTCAACACAGCGTTACAACTAAGCCTCCCATAGTAAACAATGAGAGTCCATAATCTGCCATAGAAATTCAAAACAGTTTTGAAGGTTTTTCTGCACAGATTCATCACAAATATACTATATATGCGTAAAGGTACTATAGATGATTAATAAAATGCATTCATATTTTAGTATGATGATATTTCCTCTTCTGCTTTTGTGGTCAAAATAAATTTGCCAATGTTTGACGCAGCCACTTTTCACTAATCATATTTACTTTCGTGAATATACTTTTACATATTTAAGTTGGAAGGGCTCATCCAGATTCTACTGAATTAGTTATGTCTGCATCAATTTACTACACTTTCAACTGTTGTTCACAAACAGCAGTTGCTCAAAACTTTGTTTACGCTCCTTTTTGCAGCAGAGATGTGTTGGGCTGCTTGTATAAAAATGTAGTTTTGCGAATACTCAAATACTTTTCAAATTATTTAGCATGTATTAATAAAGTGCAGTCCAGCAAACAAATCTTTGTCAATAAAAAATAGCTTTGAGGAGTCACCTGCATCACTTTGACACTAGTAAAACAAACCTGCATCACTTTGACACTAGTAAAACAAACAAACAAACAAACAAACAAACTACTACTAGTAAATTAGATATCAGAGTGATGACCTTAAGTGTGGATAAACACGCAGGCTTTTACAAGTTAATCAGACTCACCAGGTGATGGAGGCTGGATCTTGGCTTGTTTCTTGCTGTCTGCTGTGGGGTCAGATGGAGGTTCTTCTCCTCTCTCCACTTTGCACTCGTAGGCAAAAAGGTACTGGATGTAGTGCTTCTTCAGCGAGCTAGCAGAGGTGCTGGACGTGCCCATGCTCAGCGTTGAGGACAGCTCCCGCCATTTCTTATTCTTATTCACCTGTCACAGGAACCAGACATGAGCTGCTCAACCTGAACATCATCCAGCACCCGAGGACAATTTAAAGGGTGCATGTCCTACATTTTTGTTGTGGTTTTATGTACCAAAAATAGCCAAAATTTGTCTTTACATGACCATTTTTCAACCTTTCTACTGACTAATATACAGTATGTAAATGAGCTATGGTCTGATTGGCTGTTCTGTATTGTGCCTCATCAGAAAAGTAGCCTAGGCTGAAACATTCCTTGTAACTTCAATTGAAATGAGTGGGGCTAAACCAATTTTAGCTAAATTTCTCTATGGACAGAGACGTAAATGGTACAAGTTTAACAATGTTTACAAAGTATATATATTAAAGTGAGTAAAATGTGGTTTTCTGTGCTAAAAACAAGTCTTGAAAACAAAATAACAGTCAAAACAAGAGAACAGCACAAAATGAATAGTGAGATTTTACCATGGCCAATCCGCCCAACTCTTTGACAGCCATGTAGAGCTTGCAGAGGTCCAAGGCTTTTTTGCCCACGGCAGGCAGGTGGGGTACAGGTGTGCCTCTCTCCTCCATGAAGGACAGGTAACGGTCCACCCAGCTTTTCCTCTCCGGCTCCCCTCCCATCTCATACAGCCGTGAGATCTTCTCATTGGTCATAGTGGCAGAGCCAGGCTTCTGAATGGGGTTACAGAGAGATGTCTAAGAATATCACCGGGATCTACACTTGCATTTTTTCAGAGCAATTGTGTCCTCAAGTTAAAAACATTTAGGGCTGTATTGAAAACTTTAGGAGCACAGTCAGAGGTCAGCTTTGAAGGTCATTAATGTAGCATTAATTCATCACTACTTGAAAATGAAACATGATATGTATCATGTATCACATGAACCAATTGTTTTTATTTTTTTAAATAATTATTTTGAATTTTGACAAATGGACCAGTATGGTCCAAAATTGCTTTACTTAAGATTATAATATTAAGATTAATTATAATCTTTACATTAACATAGATTAAACTTATAAATGTTTCTACTTTCTCCTATAAAGTTATTATTTTGGAGATAAGACGTTTTTGTTAGGACAGTGGTGGTACAGAGAAGAGTGGACAAAGGTGTGGGCAATATCTAAAAATAATTTACATATTTTCTTGCTAAAAAATCAGGAATACTGATTATGTTGCACACCCACCCTATGTGCTTTACATATTTTAAAAAAAATCATGTTTTAAAAAATTTTTTTTCCATTGTTATAGTGGAGGCGCAGTGGAATTCAGCTACAGATTCCTGTGGGAAACTATGAAGTATTATATTTTACAACTCATCCCAACCATCGGGACACTTAACTTGTATGGGAAATGCTTAGAATTTTTCTCAGCCAGTGTGTTGCACTCTGGGAAACCCACAGCAGAGACAACAGACAGTGTGTTGTATTTGTTGTAGTGTTGCTTATTAATGCCCCAAATTAATCCACTGCTTTAAAGGTATAAGGGAATAAAACATTACATATACATATTAATTAATATCATTTTGCAAGTTTTTTAAATTAAACTGGCCCTCTGTAGTGCTCTATCAACTTTCTTACGCAACCTGGTGACTATCACCTCTGCATTGTCATCAGGTTACCTGTCAATCATCAACAATATCCAATTGCACTGCCCTCTCACTCAGGCCCAGGGCAAAGTAAATCTGAATTAGACACACACACACATTATCTAAGCCGCTTATCCTCCTGGGTCGCGGGGGTGCTACAGCCTATCCCACCGGTCATTGGGCAGAAGGCAGGAAACACCCTTGACAGGTCGCCGTCCATAAATCTGAACTAAGTACTATTAATACTTGTTTTTATTGTTTTTTTGTAGTTTTTAATGGTATCATATACCATCCCTGAGTTAATCTTGTGTCAGGCGTCACGCACAACGGTGCGCCTAAAAGTATTTCACATTTGCAGTAATTTTCACTCACAGATGTAAGTGTAATGACCGCACTGTAGAGCTCTGTATAGCGACAGCACTATAGGACAGACCATATTAAAGTGAAGATATCCACACATTATTCCTATCTATGATTAAAATCTCTATTGTAATAAGAAAAGAAGAGGACTGTCGATTGGAATAAATGTATTATTATCCTTTTCACTCAGAGGTGTTTCATTCTCTGAGGGGCATTTAAGTGTGACCCAGTTTTGGAGTGATTACAGTTAAATGCTTACAGGACTGGAGGGAGTTTTGGGCCAGGCTGGACTGCTGATGCTGTCACTGTCGTCCCCGTGGTAGGAGGACAGGCTGGCGGGGCTGGGGGACAGGGGCGAGGGGGTGGGGGGCTGGGACGCACACTGAGAGGTGTAACCGTCCTGCAAAAGAGAGAGAGAAAGAGAGAGAGAGAAACATCAGCAGGAGAATTTTTCTTCTATTATTACAACACGACTTGCACACTGACCATCTCTAACTAGAGAGAGAAAATGTGAGAGACAGAGAGAGAGAGAGAGATGAAAGAGAGAGTTATAATGATGAAATGAGTAGAGCAAGAAAAAGAGCAAGAAACAGAACAAGAGAGGAAAAAAAAAGGTGCTGAAAAGGGCAGAGAAAAAGAGGGTGAAGAGAAAGAGATGGGGAAAGAGAGAGACAGTGAGACAGGGATAGAAAGACAGGAAGAGAGATGGGGAGAGAGAAAGGGGAAGTGGCAGAGAGGAAAGAGAAAGAAATAAGAGTCAGAGAGAAAGAGAAGGACAGAAAAAGAGAAAGAAAAAGTAAGAGAAAAAATGAAGGGACAGAGAGAGAGAAAGTGTAAAAATAATAATGATAATGATGAAAGAGAGAGAGAAAGTGTAAAAATAAATGATAAGGATGAAGAGGTTTTAAAGAGGTGCTGTCAGCTCCAGGACTCTGCAGCTACACACATCTGTGACAGACTGCAAAAGTCAGCAAAAGCTCCTGTTTCCTTTCATTTCTTTTTCTTCCTCTTCCAAATTTCTAAGAGCACGGCCTGGACATGTTCTTCCACACATAATCATCTCTTCTCTTCACTCCAGGGGTCTTTCAGGCACTTTTGACAGCCTAAATAATTCAACAGTAGCTGCTATTATCAGCAACGAGGAGATGCTTCTTGTATGAGATGAAAAAAAAGGAAAGAGCACAAAAAACAAAAGGTGATCAGGGTCCAAAAGCAAAGAGAAGAGAAGACCGAGCTGAAGCAGAGTTATGCCTTGTGCGCGTGTGTGTGAGAGATAGTACGAATGCCCCCTCGTAAAAAAATGCACTTTATCCCTCAGCATAAACACCATGCAGCGCAAGAGAGCTGTAGGCAAAATAAGCAAACAAATATTATTAGCCATAAATATTAATCACATCATTAAAGGATGGATAAAAAGAGCAAAAAAAAGTAAAAACTCCTCCAAACACATGTTTAGGAAAGTCCTTACAGGATCCCTGGCTTAAAAAAAGGTTTTATATACATGTTTGACATGTTTTACATAATATACAGAGTCAGCATGTTATCACTGTCAAAACAGGTTTTTATTTTTTAATTTGAAAACACTGAGCATTTCATGATGAATGGACTGAGAGAAATTTTAAAATATTTCTTTTTCTCTTATGCCAGTGACAATAGTGTCAGAAGTGGACCCAGCACTCAGCACTATGAGAACAATCAGAGAAGGTAATGTTGGAGTGCACTAGGACAGTCCATACCTTGGGTTTGGGGGGTTCAGCAGGAGGGACGCCTTCATCTTTACTGTTAGCTTTCTGCTTGGAGTCAGCAGCCAATAGGACCTCTCCACCTTCACCCATAGGCCCTGTTGAGAAGAACACCATTCAAAGATTATCATACACTGCCTGCCAAAGGTTTACAGGCAGTTTTCTCACCAATAACTAAGAAAACGCACCTGCAGAGGTTTAATAGCTTTAACAAGAGCTCTCTGTTAATCCTCTGGGTACATGTAGCTTCACCAGAAGTGTCTTTCTTGGTATGAAGTGCAGGTTTTGCCTGAATAATGATTTGACAGTTTTCTTTTTCTAAATAACTGTTAAAAGCACATATTGAAACTTTTGGCCCAAAGGTGGTTTAAATACTTGCATGCTGATGAATGTTAACATCACAACTAGGAGATAAAATGTGTGGGCATTGGCATCATTCCCAAGACAGCACTGTCACTAATACTGGAAAAATATAAACAAGCGATAAATTGTTTTCATCAAAACAAACCAGCTCTAATATGTTATGTTATTGCAAAATGACAAGGAAAACATGTTCATTCGTATTAAAAATAGAGACTGCGTGATAGAACTTTTTCTTCTTCAGTACTTACACCATTATTGAAACCCTGAGTATTGACTAATACTGATACAGATTTTTAATTACAAAACTATTAAGCTTAAAATGAGCTTTGTATTTAAAATGAGCTTCATTTAAGCTACACTACGTAAGTGCTGGGGATTTGGTAACCTCTCTGGTGGAAGAACATTTTGTAACGTCGATTGTGCTTTGAACCCCTTTTCCGAGCGGAAGAAAGAGTATTCAAAGAGAACTCAGTTAAAACTTGGTGGAGGACGTGTCTTCTGAGGATGTGAGTGAATTGTCCACTACTGTAATCATATCTTCATCAGTATAATGGTGATTTAGCATTTGAGGCCTGAACATTGAGCAAGACGTTCTATTTGAGGCTCTGCGTGTGACGCTAACATGTAAAGACGTATGACGTGGTCTGAAAAACTCTTAAGGGATCCATCCCAGCACCTCTGACTTTTAACTCAATGACTAATATTTCAGGGTTTACAGGGCGACTCGCAGCAGTGCATGCACACCGTACTTTAGCGTGTTTTTCTCTTCTGACTCAGTAATGCTACTTCGTTAAATTTCAACAAAAAATTTACAAAGTGCAGCTTTAAGATCAGCGTCTAAAAGTAGGCTATCATGCTCAGGTTACTCAAATATACAATGTAAACATTCAGATTAACTGGGCTTCATAATCGTTCTTAAGAAGAAATTTCTTAAAAACCCACTTATGCAGTTTTCATGAAGATTCTGACGTTCACCAGTGTTTCCTATTTGGGATTTGTTCTTAGGGAAGAACAGAATTTACACACTCAAGAGCACGAAGGTGAGAACAGTTCTGGTTTGACATGACGTCATGAATCTGACGTGGACTTTTTCTTAGGACTTTTCTCAAAAGCACATTTAAGAAAAAACTTTTCTTAGTAAGGCATGGGAACGAGATCCTAATGTGTGGCCACGACTTAGTACGGCGTGGGAACAAGATCCTAATGCGTGGCCACAACTTAGTAAGGCATGATCTCGTACCCACACCTTACTAAGTCATGGCCAGGACTTAATTATCTCATTCCCACGCCTTACTAAGTCGTGGCCACACGTTAGGATCTCGTTCCCAGGCATTCTTTTTATTTATGTATGATGTCACCAGCAGGGCTCCGAAATGTTCTGCTGATATCTAGTTAAAAACATCATGTCCCAAAACATTTGACAGTGTATATCCTCTAGAATAAATATGCATTCGTGCAGGACCGAGTTTACACTCAGGTTTGCAATAAGAATAAACGAAACAAAACTTAATTTGCAAATTCATTTCACAACACCACAGTGTCAGTCAGAGCTGCCAGGCTGCTTTAGCTGGGGAAATGGTGTCAGTGTATTGGTGGTTCACTCATTTCTCGTTGCTTGAGGTGCAGTGTGTGAGCGTAAGTGTGTGTGTGTGTGTGTGTGTCTCCCAGAGGGCCAGCTGGCAGAGAGTGTGAGTGTGTTAATCTGGTCAAAGCTCTTCTGTGTTATCGCCTCGGGGAGTATGGCAGAGGAGCTCCACTAACACACTATCACCCATTTCAGCTCAGACTGCTATTTATAAACACCTCACATGCCTATCTGACTGCACGACAACAGACCCAGCGCTATCAGCAGCAGCCCATACATGGAGACTGACTATTAATCAATTAGTCATAAGTTTGCTTAAGCTGTGCTATTACATCCGGATTTGAATCGACATGCAGGTTCACTACACTTTTAGCAAAAAAAAAAAGATCTATATGGTACCAAAAAAGGTTCTGTGACTTGTAGCAGCTGGAGATTGCGTTTGGTGATGGAACTGTTTCTTATGGGTTCTTTAAAACTACAGTACTGGGCAAAAGTCAGAGACCACCCTGCCAGTTTCCTGTTCAGCATTAGCAAAGAAAATATTTTATTTATTTTATGTGTCCTTTCTTTGCCTTTATTACAGATTTCATCCTTTTCAGGAGACTCGCTTTCATTTTTTCAATAAGATTTGCAGGGATATTTTTCCACACTTCCAAGTTCAGTCTTAGAAGTTGGTTGAGCATTTTCTGCTTCACACAGTCGTCCATTGTTGAGAACAGTATTATGAGAACACATATATTAGGATTAGGGTTTGTCATTTTGAGGTTGCTGCAAGAATATTATAATATTATCTTATTTCTAGACTTCTTTTTGTTTTGGATCATTTTATCTAGTAAAATTATACTGGCAGACTATTTTGAATTATTTCTTGAAAGAAGCAAAATTGTCTCCCAGCATAATAAAACAATTTCTCCAGATAAAATGCCTAAAAAGGTATCAAATGTTTCTTATAATCTTATAAGATCTTGTAATCTTATAATATTCTAAGAAAAACCCATAAGAATTTTTAGATGTACTGACTAGATTTAAGTTGCAGAGATATTCTCACAGTCCAAGTGATCCCAAACACATGCAGTGATGTTGAGGTCTGGACACAAGCAGCTTTTTTGTGTCTGTCTCCTTTTCTCAGTGAGGGCTTCTTGGCAGCTACACATCCTTTCAGACCCGGAGCGCTGAGTCGTCTTCTCACAGTGGAAGGATGGACAGAAACTCCTGTGGATGTTTTCAGATCTGAAGCAGCTTGATTTTCTCCTCTCTCTCAAAGATGGAAGCTTTAAGTGCTGTTTATCTGATGGGGACAGTGTTGGTGTCTACCAGGTCATAATTGTTACGAATCTCTACAGCTTTCTATTGTTTTTTCCCTCCCTTATGCAAGTGCATTTTCTTACATCTAATCTTGTTAGAAATTATCTTCAGAAAAATGAATAACTTGTACTTTATGGCCCTTTTGACTGGAAAATAACAAATTAAGGGTGGTCTCACAAAATTGTCTCACAGGCTTTTGCACAGTATTGTATATACAAAGGAAATTCTACATGATAATAACAGTAGGCCAAATAGATAGATAGATAGATAGATAGATAGATCTGAATTGTAAAATTATTGACAAAAAAATGACCTGAAAAAGAAACATTTTCAGAACTCTAAAAAAATAAAAACAAACAAACAAACAAAAACATTCAAATGATTGTCATGGTTCTATGCAAAACCACTGTTTTTACTGAAGAACCCTGGAGGGACCCCTTTACTTAAGAGTGCACCACATAACAACCTGATCACTTTTCCTGCCTAAATCCTGAAGTGGCATCGCAACACTCTAAAATGTTAAATTTCCTCCAACAGAGACAGCGTCTTTTACCGGGAAGGTTTCGTTGGCAGGATCACATGTTTAATCGGAGAAAGAATGGAATGAAAACGAACGAAAAGAAAACCCAAAGTGATCAAGAGGATGTAAGGTCTCAGAGACGTTCAAAACTGTGAATATCTGCAGAGGTCCCAAGGTCCATCTCCTTTTTTCCCACTCGACGTACAGAATGCTGCACAATGTGAAACTAATTGCTTTTTTTGAACAACCCCGGAGGCAGCAGAAATGAGTTTTTAAGAACCTTAGCACTTTAATTCAATTGATGTCTTCCAAATGTCACGCAGACAGCCTGATCTCCAGCTCTGTGAAGCTGCGCAGAAATATTTTCTATTACAACTTCACCTTCTGGGAGGCGCGCCGCTGACAATGCAGCAAGGTGAAGGGGCTATTGTAGGGCCGCGCCGCTTTTCATCTCCTTTCAACAGGCCAAACTTAACATGCAGGAGCAAAGTTACCTCTCCTGCTGCGAGCCACGGAGGACTCAAACAAAGAGGAAAAACAAAGAGAATTCCGCCCCTTCCTGGGGTCATGTCAACTTCTTTTTTACAATAGATAGCATCCGTTTAAGCTTCTAATTGAAATTCCTTTGGCAAATATGCATATATATATTGTACTTATCACAAACACTGACATGTAGAGGGCACATTATATAGTTTTTATTGTATGTAATTTTTTTGAAGTCCTCTTATAAAATATTTGTGGTTTTGTGTTCCAAAACATTTTCTACACACTTTTCTTTCTCGTGTAGGACTGAACAGGCTTGTTACTGTGAAACAGAAGACTGACATATCGCTGCTGTCAGAACAAAACCTTGTATCCAAAATGGTAACTTTACAGGAAAAGGAAAAAAATACCTTATTTTAAGTGTAAGTCAATGGAACCAGACATCTTTCCAAGACATTTAGGGTCCATTTATTTTGGTCCATTCATCATGAAATTTACACACAATGTAAAGGACAACAGGCATTTTCAAATTATGGCTAAAACTGAAAAATGAGAAAAATGGAGATACGATGTTTTGTCCCAAAAGCAGCGATATGTAAATGACCTCTATTCTTATTTGCTGCCCTGTATTGTCCTCATCAAAAACACTCAGAAATGACATCACAAACAAGTTGAATTCAAAACAGGCTATTTTTGCAGTTAAACTGTATGGACTGGGGGGTGGGGGGGGTGTCATTGTATGTTTTAATACTTTAACAAAGTTTATGTAGTGCATCCAACTTTAATTAGTAACTTTAATTAACAAAAACTGAGCATTTTTTTTATAATATAGATAAAGCATTACAGCACCTGACTGAACTGAAATTTCTGCATAATTAATTGGTTAAGATGTAAACAAAGTCATTTAGAGTGCTCTGATGTGCAGTGCTCTGTTCTAGAGAAACCTTTCACAGTGGTGGCGAAAAGAACCAGACTGAAGAGTTTAATGCCTCTAAAAGCTACATCAAGGTAAGTTATTGCACAACATGATTATGAATACGCTGTCTGATGTCTAAGACATTGTTTTAAGTTTTTAAGATTAAGATTTTAAGTTTTGAGATACGATTTTGGCCTAAAAGGTAATTTTCTAAATCCATTAAAAGCAAAGAGGTACATGCAGAGCATTGTAAGGCAACATAGTCCCTCAAGAAAACTCATTTCCAGATTTACCACTATTTCACCATCATCAACATTGCATATAAAAACTCAGAAGACATGTGGGGCCACTGATCATTTTGGATAGTAAATAAAATGGCTATATTTGAGTTGTAGACATTGCGACCCCTGGTTCCCATCACCACCAGTTTCTCTTCAATGAACCATTTTACATCAAACCACATCAACCACTGATTTATGTAGAAATTTAGGAAATTTGGTGGAATTCCTCTTTAAAGCTCAGCAGGATTTGAGCGCTGGAGGAGTGCAAGTTGGATGAGCAATGTTACCTGAGGGAGAGGAGTTGGAGGTGGAGCCGTGTGGAGACATCATCCCTGTGGCATTACTCACTGACTGACTGTACGAGGAGCTCGGACCCATCATACCAGAATAACCACCCTGCCTAAGAGAGAGAGAGAGAGAGAGAGCGAGAGAGTCAAAGGTACACTCTTAAAAATAAAGTTACCAAAAAAGATTTTGTGGAATGCCACTGAGGAACCACCTTTGGTTCTGTGAAGATTCTTTCAGTAAATGGCTCTTTAAAGAGCTGTTGCTGTAAATGAGATATGCAAGTGTGAAGAACACAGTTGTAGGTCCTAGGTCCTAAGGTTCTCTACTAATTAAATGACTTTCCTTTCCTAGAACAATTCATTCAAGCCAAGAACCACTTAGAAACCATTTATAAACCATATATAAAACGATAACAAACAGTAAAAGTATATCAAATTACATATTTTATTGATTACTAAGTGAAAATAAGTTAATGTCCTCCTAAAAAGAAAACACTTCTGCATAGTATAAATATTGTTAAATATAAAATACACGCGCACACACACACACACACACACATTTTCTAAGCCGCTTATCCTTCTGGGTCGCAGGGAGAGCTACTGCCTATCCCAGCGGTCAGCGGGCAGGAAACACCCGGGACAGGTTGGCAGTCCATCACAGGGCAAATACAAAATATTAATTATTAAAATTTAAGTTTGTTCCTGGTAGACAATGTTTTAACATGTACTTGAACAAGTAATTTCACTGGGGGTGTTCAAATCTTTGCACATTATATATATATATATATATATATAATATATATATATATATATATATATATACAGCTTGTTTAAGAGCCTGTATAAAGGAAAAATAACCCAGGAGTTGAGTGTTTTACTAATTAGCATTAATTATATGATAGCATCTCACCAGATGGATTAATATTATTGTTTCATATATCATAGATTCGCTAATTAAACTAAACAGATCCTAACATTGTCGTCTCTTTTATTACTTTGGTCGTGAGTTCAGCTGATATGAAGGCTGCTGTGATGTGGAATAGAGCGGCAGGTCTGTGGCATTAAAGGATGGTGTGTATTTGTAGATGAGAGTGCTGAGCCTCTGCTTCTGAGCGACTCAGTTCTGCTTTGGCTCCAGATCGATGATGACTGCATGTCTCGGAGTCACGAGACAAATCCTAGACAAAACAATGCCTATTTTCCATTATCAGTGATTGGGCCTGCCTGCAGCACAATGAGAAAAATCACCCGCAGCAAAGTGAACGTGGAGTTTCACTCCAGATTAAATGGCTTTCCACCGGTGTGCGTGTCTGGAGGAGAGTAATAGAAGGCATGCCCCCTCCCCCTCCCTCCAAAGTCATAATTTAACTAATTAAGGTGTGCTTCTGGAAAGGATCATGTTATTTGTTGCCATGGCGATGGCGGGAATCAATCCCGCGCTTTCTCCACGCTCCAAATGGTTTTGGGGACATCAGACAGCTTATCAGCAACCTGCTGCACACACACACACACACACACACACAATATGTGAACAGAGCGCTGAGAAAACACACTGCCTACAATACTGTAATCAAAGGTTAACTGGCTTTAGGGGTGAGAGAGAGACAGGAGGGGGTGGAGGGAACAGAGGGAACAGAAAGAAAGATACAGAAAGAGACAGAGACAGGAAAAAAGAGATAAAGAGAAAAGAGATAGAGGAAAAAAAAGAGAAAGAAAAGAGCGAGAAAAGAGTGAAAAGAGAGAAAAGAAATAGGAAAGAGTGAGAAAGAAAAAAGAGAGGAGAGAGATAAAGTGAGAGAGACAAAAGGGACAGAAAAGAGACATAGAGAGAGACAGAGCGAGAGAGAAGGAGAGAACTGTGCCTCAAGAACTGTGATTACAAATAATTTCTGATGAACTGGGAGAAAAATAAAGAGAGAGAGAGAGAAAAGACAGAGAGAGAGAGAGAGAACTACGCCTGAAGAACTGTGATTACGAATCATTTCTGACGAACTGGGAGAAAAATATCTAAATCAAAATTGGATCTGAGGGTATCAACCTGTGTCAGACGCATGATGAAAGATGAAACGCCGAGCGGGCTCTGTGTACTTGGTTGATCTGAAATAAATCTGAATTATTCAGAAAGTGAAATAATGAGAAAAATGGAAAAACGTACAAGCTGGATTAATGTCAGTCACAGGGGCCGTACTTCAGCGCTGCCAAGAGACAACGCCACGGGTGAAATTGACACACAATGACTAACGAGTGGGATCCATGTGCTAAAGCTCGCTGTAATCGCATCTCACAGATGTAATTAGTCATTGGCAGAGTTACATGACACACACTGTATGTAATCTCCTCACAGGATTGATTTCAGTGTGAGCGAGATGGCAAACGAGGCACTTTCATCCATTCGGATCAAGCCTCCTTCCTCAATCACTCACTTCAACAAAGTGCACCAAAATACTTCACGTCGCCTTTTTATTCCTTTACATCATAAAGTGCCGCTCTCATGTGCATAATGCAATAAACACAAAACACAAAAACAAGTGCGCTTCGCAGTGCGGCATGCACGACCACTATTACTAATTCATGACATCAAAAAAAGCCATTAAAACACTTGATGGAGAGAAAGTGTGCCGTTTAATCATACTTAATATATGCATGGGGCACCATCAAAAACAGTGCAGCGCGTTGGTTTTGGCTCACAGGCAGCACAGCGTTGAAAACGGCGTTAAAAACAGCCCTGCTGCTGTGGAGGAGGCAGAGTGGGGTGGCTCCCCAGTGGAACAGCAGGGAAGGTAGTGGGAGCTGGGGGACAGCAGAGACGGACCTGTTCTCTCTCTCTCTCCATTCGCTGCTTTTTTTTGTCCTCGGGCCGAGAACAGGGGGAGGAAATACTGCTAAACACAGCAGCACCTCTCCCAGAAACACACAGCTTGGGTACACTTCACTGCAGAGTGCAAACGCTGTACAAAACAGTCCACCAATCACTATTTCCTACATTAAAAATCCAGAGCTATACGGTTATACACTATAATTCACCGTCTGGAAAAAGGGTGCGGTACATTTTGTTTATCAAGGTACAAACTATGTAAATGTACCCTTAAAGGTACAACACAGTCCTTAAGGTATGACTGTGCACTTAAATGAGTTTTAAAAGAGCACTACATTCACCTTCCAAGCAGAAAAGTATACATTTATAACTTTGTTTTAAAAAAGAAAAATAAAAAAACACATGGAGTGCAGACGGAGTGATCTGAGTTAATGCAATTTCAAATAAAAACAATTGCCATATGGTACAATTATAATCCCTTCATAAAAGAAACTAAAGACATTCCCTTGAGAATAACACCTCAGTGACCTGCCCCTCTATTCCCTACACTGGAGTACTATATAGAACACTATTAAAGAAAACAGAAATGGTCCCCTGATCACTATTCCCTACATTAGAAAATCAGGAGCACTATATAGAACACTATTATAGTGAACACAAATGGTCCCCTGATCACTATTCCCTACACTGGAGCACTATACAGAACACTATTATAGAGAACAGAAATGGTCCTCTGATCACTAATTCCTACACTGGAGCACTATATAGAACACTATTATAGAGAACAGAAATGGTCCCCTGATCACTATTCCCTACACTGGAGCACTATATAGAACACTATTATAGAGAACAGAAATGGTCCCATGATCACTATTCCCTACACTGGAGCACTATATAGAACACTATTATAGAGAACAGAAATGGTCCCATGATCACTATTCCCTACACTGGAGCACTATATAGAACACTATTATAGAGAACAGAAATGGTCCCATGATCACTATTCCCTACACTGGAGCACTATATAGAACACTATTATAGAGAACAGAAATGGTCCCATGATCACTATTCCCTACACTGGAGCACTATATAGAACACTATTATAGAGAACAGAAATGGTCCCCTGATCACTAATTCCTACACTGGAGCACTATATAGAACACTATTATAGAGAACAGAAATGGTCCCCTGATCACTATTCCCTACACTGGAGCACTATATAGAACACTATTACAGAGAACAGAAATGGTCCCATGATCACTATTCCCTACACTGGAGCACTATATAGAACACTATTATAGAGAAACAGAAATGGTCCCCTGATCACTATTCCCTACACTGGAGCACTATATAGAACACTATTATAGAGAACAGAAATGGTCCCCTGATCACTAATTCCTACACTGGAGCACTATATAGAACACTATTATAGAGAACAGAAATGGTCCCCTGATCACTATTCCCTACACTGGAGCACTATATAGAACACTATTACAGAGAACAGAAATGGTCCCATGATCACTATTCCCTACACTGGAGCACTATATAGAACACTATTACAGAGAACAGAAATGGTCCCCTGATCACTATTCCCTACACTGGAGCACTATATAGAACACTATTATAGAGAACAGAAATGGTCCCCTGATCACTATTCCCTACACTGGAGCACTATATAGAACACTATTATAGAGAACAGAAATGGTCCCATGATCACTATTCCCTACACTGGAGCACTATATAGAACACTATTATAGAGAACAGAAATGGTCCCATGATCACTATTCCCTACACTGGAGCACTATATAGAACACTATTATAGAGAACAGAAATGGTCCCCTGATCACTAATTCCTACACTGGAGCACTATACAGAACACTATTATAGAGAACAGAAATGGTCCCCTGATCACTAATTCCTACACTGGAGCACTATACAGAACACTATTATAGAGAACAGAAATGGTCCCCTGATCACTAATTCCTACACTGGAGCACTATATAGAACACTATTACAGAGAACAGAAATGGTCCCCTGATCACTATTCCCTACACTGGAGCACTATATAGAACACTATTATAGAGAACAGAAATGGTCCCATGATCACTATTCCCTACACTGGAGCACTATATAGAACACTATTATAGAGAACAGAAATGGTCCCATGATCACTATTCCCTACACTGGAGCACTATATAGAACACTATTATAGAGAACAGAAATGGTCCCCTGATCACTATTCCCTACACTGGAGCACTATATAGAACACTATTATAGCTAACACGGTGGTCCCTCTAT